TCTTATATCAATTTGTAGCTCATGTTACGATCTACAACTTTACTTAGAACATCAACAAATATTTACTTGAACTCGAATCGAACTTTTTGTCAGGTTCGAGTCTGGTTCGAAATTCGAACTGAACTCAAACCAGACTTTTAATTAGGTTCGAATTTTTGAACTGGACTTTTCGTCAGATTCGAGTCCGGTTCAAGCTTGAACCAAACCAGACTCGAACTGAACCAGACTTTTTTTCGGAACCCTAGTGCAAACTAAGATAGTAATAATGAAAAATATAGTAATAAAAAAGCTTTGTTAATAAAATTTATTTTGAATCCATTATAATTATAATATATAATCTTTATAATAATAAACTTAACTTGATCCATTATTTTTTTATAACTATAAAAAGAGATCTATTAAAGATCTTCTGCTATACAAATACTGTTAAAAGAACTAAAATAACAATATATAGTATTACATATCATATAAATGATATAATTCATATAATATTATATTAATTATATTTTATATAATATATTTTTTTTATATTAAAGATAAAAAATGAAATATTTTTGAGTTTAAATTTCTTGTATTATATAAAAATATAAATTATATAAAAAATAAATATAATTATAAATTAAAATATAAATATAAAATAATAATTTGTAATAAATTAAAGATCAAATAATAATATAATATAATATAAAATATAATAATTCACAAAAGATTAACAAATTTGAAAATAAATATATAATAAATAATTATAACTTATTTAAATTTCTTGTTAATAATTTTAGTTATTATTATTATCATTTTCAATAAAAATTTCATAATTCAATAATTTTTATAATATCATAAATTATAATATATTATAATTTATCCAATAATATTTATATTAATACTTTTTTGATTTTATACAAGCAAGTTTTGTATTTATTTGATATTATACAATTAAATTTGATATTATATAATTATATTTTAATAAATATTACTTTTCTTTTAATTAATAATTAAATTAATTATCAGCAAATTATATTTTTTATATACTTTAATATTTATCTTTTACTTTTTTTATTCTTTACTTTTTTGTATTTTTTCTTCTTTTATTGCTATTAGTATATTTTATTTTCAACAAAAATATTTTTAATTCAAATTTCATTATCTTTAATTAATTATATCTTATTTTTTATTTTTATTTTTATTTTTATCTTTATTTTTATTTTTATTTTTAATTAATTATATCTTATTTTTTATTTTTATTTTTATATTGTCATCTCTTATAATTTATCTCATATTATTTAATTTTTCTTTAAAATTTTTCTTTTTATTGTGCTCTTATAATTTTACTTATTTTTAATCACTCAAATTTATATTAATTTTATCTTGTATTTTCTTTTTTCTTATTTTGTATAAATTCTTATTTAATTTTTGATCTTTGTTCTCTTTTAGTATTATTTAATATTGTTTATAAATAGTGATATAATTTAAAATCATTATTACAATCAAATCTCTCTATAGTCATCACCCCTGGAAAAGCAAAATTTGGTGACTATAGGAAGAATGTGATTATAGAGAGATTTTTTTACTATATTTATATATAAATGAAAAAGCAAAATAAGAGAGATATAACTATAATAAATGTGACTATAGAGAGATTTGACTGTAATTATATAAATTGAAGTAATTATTAAAAATATATAAAAAAGAATCTTTTATTACTAAAAACTCTCATGCTTTAATCTAATAAAAATAATAAAGTTCTTACATATAATACTATACTTGTAAATATATTATTATTTTCTTAATTATCTTCAAATTTTAACTCCAAGTAGTGAATACTTCTTCACTCCAAATAAGCTATCGACTTTAATATTTTTGTTTATTTTATTTTATTATTTTTAGATCATATTAATAAGTCCTGTTATTTTATTTTCTTTATTAATAGTTTTAATAAGTCCAATTAATCTTTTTATTTTGTTAAACAATCTCAATAAGTTCTGTTATTTTCTTTAATAGTTATTTTATTTTATTTTAATTTATTATATTCTTTTCTTTAATTTTTCTCTTTGTCTCTATATTTATTTTTGGTAGTAAATTAGTTTGTGTACAAGCTATCACAAGAGATCTTTAGAATCTTTAGTAAATCCCATTAATCATAAATTATTCAGTTTTGTTCATTCACTATTATATTACTTTATTAATTCATTAATTATAACAATTCCTGTATTTAATAAAAACTTATACAAAGCTCTAATAATTTAGATTTTTTGATTTTTGAACTTTATTATGAATCTTTTGGAGAGATTTCAAATAAAAATAATGTTGCATTTATAATTAATTACAATAAAAAGAGTTTATTTTGACAATTCAAACTGACCCTAATAATACTAATAATACTTTTTTTCTTTTAACTTATGATCCAAATTCGCAATATATGAATATTATAATTTAGTGTTACTTAATATTCAAAGTATCAAAATAGCATTTACTATAAAATAGCTTACTTGATTATATAGCAACATACAATACATTTTGACAATAGAAAAATTTACCAGTACATAACTTTTGAACTTGATAATTTCATCGCAAAAAACCTAATTCAATACCTAAAGACATATTCTTGACCTTCTACACACAAATCTGGCTACATTGGCAACCAAAATGCCCAAAAATTTTCCTGTACTATCCAAAAACCGCAAACAAACGCGTCCATATGCGTCATGTTCAAGCCCGCCTTCGACAATGGATCCATAACCTCTACACTCTAGCTTGTTCGTACTCTTATTATCCCTCCCTTTAATGGCAGCCAGGCAACATAGCAAGCTTAAAAATCGAACTGTGCGCAAGATGGTAACTCGAGGTTTAGGGCGAGTTAAGCGTGGATGAATACATCAAAAGTTAGGGTGAAGAAAGGTGTTCAAGTGAATTATCTATTAATTGGGATGTTAATGATGAAAATGACTAACATTGTCTATCAATGTCTAACGCTAAGTCTGACTAAAGCCATCCGTAACGACCTCAATAACTGCCACAAATCATCTTCAATTACATTATTTGCTGAATTATCTTCTTTGTGTTTGTTTATTATTTATATGTTTCTTTTCTTGTTCTGTTCTTTCGATTCGGTAACGGTAATATACCAGATTTTTTCTTTAATTAAATCATACGCGTTACTGTTTATAAATGCATTACAAATGTACTCGTGATATAACGAACACTGCCTCCGGGCACAGAAGAGAAAATTTTAAAATGTTCATTATATCGAAGTTACTATGTTTATATAACGACTTTACTCGTTATATTAATAGGTCATTATATCGAGAATGTTTTTGGATTTAATGCTAGATAATTCATTCAGTTTCGCATAATTTATTGAGCCAATTATCTTTAAATTCTATAATTTTTAGTTTACATTTTTCGCTAATATTTATCCATAGAAATTCACTCGCATACAGTTTTCATCTCTTGTTACGAACTCATTTCTATGAAAATTTATCGCTCACAAATACAACTAATGTTTATCTTCGATACATTATAAATCGATCTCAATTCCCATCATTTTTGCTTCTTTTGACTTTATCGCTATTATTTGTTAGCGTCAGTGAATTCCCTCATAATTCCCGTTTACAGAACGACAATCGCATAATCTAAATTAGTAATCGCGCGTTTTGAAATTTGACCATGTAGAATGAGATCATCGTCTATCAGTTGATACAATTACTGCGGGACCTTACTAAATAAAAAGATAAAAAGAACACCTTAAAAAGAATGTTCATGTATTCAATCTTAAAATTGGATAATCGGATAATAGTTTAATGAATATCCAATAAAGTAAATTTTCATATGGATAATCCATATATGAATGATCCATTGTTTAACGGTAACGTTAATATATATAAATACGTACTACATGTAGTCAAAAGCTATTGGCAAAACAAAGATGTTTTCGAAACTACCGATTGAACTGTGGTTCAAAATCTTTGCGGAATGTACAGATGAAGAAGGGTGAGCATTGGTTAAAATCATAGTTTATGAACTTATTAACGTTAATCTCGTTTGATAGATTCAAAAGAATTTGGAAACTACGACGAGTATCCAAATCGATATCGGAAATCATCGACAGGTTGTATGTTAGTATTATCAGACGAAACTATGAATGGAATCTTTCGATGTGGGTGAGTACATCTAATAAGAATCGAAGATTCAACGCAAATTTTCGTTGATTTCAAAGTTCTTGTTTTCTATGTTCGAAAACAAAGCCAATGTCAATACTTGTACCAAGCGGAAGGGTCAAATTTATTCTAAAAGGGATGAAAACGGAAAACGAAAATAGCAATCTATGGTTGATTTTTCATCCAAAGTTCACTGAATCATCAAATCGCCGGCTTATAGAGCCTAGACCCCTTAATTTCAGTCTTTGGGGGAAACATATATCGACATCGGAAAATGAGCTTCAAATAGAACGCGTTGCTAGCGAATTATCGGAATCACGAATTCAAATTTTGCAGAAAAGTGATTTCCAGATTGTAATCGAGAAAAAATCTTCTAGTTTAATTAAAGTCAAAGAGATTAGAGTACTTGTTCATGAGAAATTTTTAAATATTATTGATGTAAAATAGTTTATTTGATTAGTTTGAAATGAATATTTATATGCAAAATGCCCTGAATTAAGAAAAGTCTAGCAGTATTTTATAGTAATGCTCTTCTGAAAGTAAATAGATAATTCACTTTTTCATTATGTAATGCATTTAATTTGCTCAAAAAATTGATCGCATTCTACTGAGACCCGAAATACGTATGCCAAGAAAGATTTAAAAGTCTCAATCCCTCTTCCAAATAATACCTTGATTATATTTCAACAATCGACTATGCATATCATACAAACGCAGAAGTAATACCTTTTGCGGCTGTATAAATCAATATGGGCAATCAAATTCAAACTAATTGACTTTAGCGTATTACTCGTTGATTTCTTCAATAATGGCTGCGAAGAAAAACATTGCAAAATATCTCACTCATTTCATTGAATCATTATATTAATAGTCTATTTATAAAGCAGGATATTGAAACCAGCAGCAACGGTCTTGATATCTCCGACTCGAAAATTCAAATTTTGCTAAAGTCGTCTCAAACAAAGAAACAATCAAGTGTCTATACTTGTTTAATACATGTACGTGAGAATTGTGCATCTGATTATCAATTGAGATGGGCGTACATAACGTCAACCACACATGCTACAATATGTTATTCACGCTTTACGAATTCCGCATAATTTGCGTGCGAAAATAGATTACTTTTCATGGACATAGCACAAGATTTCTCGAAGAGAATTCTCATGGCCACTGATGTCTAGGGAGAACGTGACCAACTGTAATTAAATACCAATGAACTTTAAAGATTTGGCACCTTAACATGTTCAATCTTTCCATCCTTTGACAAGAAAGTTGAGCACAAGCGAAATCAACATTTGCAGTCCACTACTACAACAGATGAACAATGGAGACAAACTGCTATTCTACAATTAAGTGACCTGTATTTTGTTTTAAATTCAATATTAAATGGAAGGGATTGCAAGGAACTACCACCTAAGCAGCCTAAATATCGCTCTTGGGATTTCATCTTTTTCTAGTCTGCGATGGCTTCATCACAGCATCTGACGACCTCTTGGATTTACATGAGCGTCATAACTATTCTGTTTCTATTTTTACCGATGAAAGTGTTCTGGCAGAAGGTTGAGCTTGAAAATATTGAAATGAACACACAGCTAAGTTGTTGACCAAGGATTTGGAATATCGGTCGCTCGGTAACAATTGATCCTAATTAATGAATCATCTTGCAAGTCTTGATTTATCCTATTTTTGTTTCCTGATCATGTTATCTAGAGGAAAAAGCATATCCCTTTGATTCTTAAATGCGTTCAAGAAGGTTATGAAGACGATTGGCTCAGCGTATTGTCGTATTGCGACAAAGCTGGTCGACCATGTTACATCTTTCCTAGTGGTATGGTTTTCTAGTAGTATGTGCGGGAGGGGTTCAGTTTCTCCACTCTTGCATATGGGGTTCAGTTCCTCGCGCGTTACACAATCCAGGAGGTTTCATTTCCTCTGTTCTCGCAAACAATCTTAGGGGATACCGTTCCTCCTATGGGAATAATATGGTGTGAAATAACTAATCACTTTCTATATTCATCCGACTATCGTTACTACAAATTTCTGGAAAAAGTTGACAATAGAGAAAGATCATGCAAGTGCGGAAGAGCAACTTCAACATAAAAAAGGTATAATTAAATTATTTTGATCAGCTGTTCTTGCAAAGTGACCTATAAATCCCTGCATTGTAGTCTGAAGGAGAAGCGAACAATCTTGAGAAATGTTGTTTCCTCTGTTGATTCATCCTATATTAGTTGTCTCACCTTATATAATAAACTTGTGATAGGTTGGATTAATCAATTTTAATTTTGAGATGATTTTAAAATTTTGGAGCCTTGCTAAAACTTGTTACATGTATATAACGATAATTGTTCAAATCAACACAGCATAAAAATCAATGATGAATGATGCATCGAATAATCCTACATCGCACATTCGAATATTTGTCTGACCCTCGTTGCATCGTCTGTCAAAACCCCTGGACATTTAATAATTTACACAAAGCCACCCCTTATTTGATGACGAAATTGGAAACTCGTTTCCGCGCGTCTCCCCTTATAAAAAGGCTCACAATCAAAAATTCAAATATTTGTCTCGTAAAAAAGAAGCAAACATGAATATCCTTAATGGTCTGTAAGTATTCTTTTACACTTTTGAAAATGATATAAGAACAGAATTGTATGTCTTCAAGAAACACGTTTTTTTGAGAGAATAACAGATAAATAATTGGATTCTCGTGAACAATAAAAATTCAATTTCGATCATTAAAATTTAAAAGATCTTCTATTTATAATTTTCTTTAAATCATCCATCGTCTCTTGTTTGTGATTTTGATTTTTACTGGGGATGGATCAAATCAACAATCAAATCAAATCAAATTATAAAAATTAATAAGATTCAAATTCTTGGGTTACCCAATTTCTAACATCACCACCACCACCAACAATGGTCACGCTAGAAAGACGAAAACCTTCAAGGGAAAAAAACCATTGGCCGAGGGCACGAAACAATATCAGCTACAGAAATACGCGGAATCTACGCTTAGTTCGGGTGATCTGAAGCTGGCAGTTGTGCTGCCGGAGGGTGAAGATATAAATGAATGGCTGGCTGTTAATAGTAGGTATAATTTCTTTCAATTCGACGGAAAAGATTTATCCTAAAAACGAAAATATTAATTTTAATTTTCACAAAGCATATGATTTCTTTAATCAGATAAATATGCTATATAGTACCATCACAGAATTCTGCACTCCACAACAATGTCCTGTAATGTCAGCTGGATCCAGGTAAATTGGTCATTTAGTTAATAAATTAAAATTAATTAATTGATTGATGGAATAACTTACTTATTTCGTATGCTATTGTCTAAACTTGAAACTTTTTCTAGCCTGGAATTTCTGTGGTCCGATGACGTGCACTTTAAAAAGCCTATAAAGTTATCAGCACCAGAATATGTGGATCATCTGATGACATGGATTCAGGAGCAAATGGATAACGAGAATATTTTTCCCAGTACAATAGGTAAGGATTCTTTATCCACGGATGCTTATTTCATTATAATTTGATGTGATTGATTTAACTGATTAATGTAATGTCACTTAGGAATCCCATTCCCAAAAAACTTTAGAGAAATTGTAAAGAGAATATTCAAGCGTCTTTTCCGAGTCTACGCGCATATTTACCTCTCACACATGTCGGTGATCACAGCGTTAGAAGAAGGTCCACATCTGAACACTAGCTTAAAACATTTCATGTATTTCGTGCAAGAATTCGATTTAATCGAACAGTCGGACTTGAAACCGCTTGCGTCTGTTATTGAGGCTTTGATGAAGTCACCATCGTCATCCACTTTGAACATATGATGTGATGTTCTTTCGGTCTGCTTGTATGACGTGGCAATGGCGATAGGCTGCGTTTATATTTATTACATAAATTGTATCATAATTGTTATGGCCATAATAATCGCTTTTTATAATAGATTTATTATATTTTTGAATATTGTACTGATAGCTGAATCCATCAGTTCTAAATTCGTTAGATTCTACTATGTGTTTAGAGCCTCGACACACATCATCATCATGTCACAAATTCTAATAGCTCTTGTAGCAACAGATCTTGATTTTTATTCATATGTTGAGCAATAAAAACTGCGCCATTGGACTTATCAAAGTTTTGGAAGTCAAATGACGACTTATATAACGATGCTCAACATCGGTAAGTTACTAGACTATAAAACGTGACAATCAAATATTTTTGAATTTGGATTTCGAGACAGGGACTTGTTGGTTAAATGAGCCAACCATACATAAATTAGACTATACATGACTTCAACATCCAACTTCGAACCCAAAATCAAAAAGTACAAAAGACAACGAAACAAAATATTCATTCCTGCTCTCTTTGTTTCTCAATAACAAAAGAAGAGAAAGAAGAATAGGCGGCTAAATCAAAAGATATAAATCTCGTGGAACTACACTATGACTATCCTATCCTATCCTATCCTATCCTATCTACCACGGCTAATAAGGGAACTACAACTATACTATCTACCACGGCTAACAAAAGAGAGAGAATCGGAGATGGACCAAAATACCTGCCAAAGACTAACAAACATGATCTTAAAGTATGCCGATAAAAAAAACCCATAAACTCCACCCAATAAAACAATAAAACTTATCCAACCCTAAAAATACCCCCCAAAAAATCTCCTAATCTAATCAAAAAAAAATCCTACATAAAAAAAGAAATATATGTACGCTATACAGATGTTATGAAAGGGGAGTGAAAGTGAAAAAGTGAAAGGGAAAGAAACTGTACATTTTATATTGTTCGTTATCATGTACTTCAGATATGTATGTATGTATGTATATTGATATGTATGTGCGAAATAATATTTATATGTATAGAAAATGATGTAAATATGTATAGAAAAAATGAAATCCAAATTCCAGCTTTGCATTTAAACCCACCAAAGAAAAATAGAATTCTAACAAATTTTTAATCTCTCGATAAATCAACAAAGGTATCTCGACTAATCTCCCCATTTTTTAAGTAACCCACTCACATCATTCTTCATATCACAAAATTTTCGCCGAATCTCATCTTCACGTTGTCGCATAGAACTTTCCAATTGTTCAATTCGACGTTGACTGTTCTCCAGCATTTCGACCGCTTTTGTCAGCCGTTTTGTGAGTGTGTTCACAGCGTCTGGCGAACTAGCATTAACTGGTGGAAGGAAAAATTCGGTGAATAGGGACGACGATGAACTTATGGAAGGCCGATAACTATTGATTGATGGCGGCAGTGGTGCTCCAAACCCATAGTGCTCAGGATATTGTTGCGTCGGTGGCGGAAGTTGAATCGGTTGTGGCTGATGTTGTGGCGGTTGTGGCTGATGTTGTGGATGTTGCTGCTTTTGTTTTTGGACACGAAAAGTATCATAATGACCCGTTGGTGATACATCAGTACTACTATACTTTCGTTTAGTTCCTTTTTGAGGGGAAAAAGAGGAAACAGTCACCGGAGCAGAAGGGCCACCACCTATAGAAATAGCACGCCATTTGATATTACTAGATGCTGCTGATGTGGATGGAGAGGAATCGACGGTATTTCTATCAAAACCCGCAACGCTACTAAGCGAACTATGTCCAAGATGCTGATGATGATATCGCATTTCGGTCATTGTTGTCGGTGATGGATTTGGTGTTGGTATATGATCAAAGGATTTTGATTTTCCAAGCTGCAAAAGTATTTCACGTGCCGGTGCCGAAGAAATTCGACTTGATGAATTATTTTTTGAAGGTGATGATGATTTACTATTATTATTTCTTTTCTTTTTATTGGTAACATCCTTGTGTTTGGAAGAAGAAGCAACAGCCGCAGATGATGATGCCTCTGTTCTACTGTCATCTTCGTACTTATCTTCCTCCTCATCTTTAACCCACCGAGTCCCAAGTCCAACCTGGACAATACTTCGACGATGAGCAATAGGTAAAGTAGGATCGTCACACTCGACATCCTGAAGATCATCTTCCATAGGTTCCGCCGCATCATCTTCGTCGTCATTTCCACTACTCGCTTCAGAAACAGATACTATGATTCTTTTCTCGGGTGGTTCTTCGTTTCTTGCAGTTTTTGATGATGATGTGGTCATCTTTGCAGACTTTTCTTTTGGCTGCTTTTGTTGTTCTTCGTTGTCAATATCGTTACTACCAACACCACTAATGCTACCACCGGTATTACGTCGAGTGTACTTTCTTTTCTTTCGTTTACTATTTGCTCGCTTGATTAATTTTAATACAAGATCGGCGTCATCAGCATCATCATCTAATGTTGCTGTTGTCGATGTTGTGGCTGAGGTCTCTTCAAATCCAGTCGGATTCTTCTCTGGTTCGAGATAGTACTCATTTTGTTTGGAGAGCAAATAATCGAAAAAGGCATCCAGATGAATAGAACGCATCCATTTCTATTATTGTCAAAATGATAATATATTTTAGATGATTGGTAAAGAGATGCAAATGATCGGTGTATATCATATTATATATTATTAGGAATAATAATAATAATATAATAATAATATAATAATATAATAATAAAATAATAAGAGAATGAAAAAAAATAATAAAAAAATAAAATAAAAATTCTGCGCCACGAAGATGATTGGATAATAAAATCCGTGCTTGATCGGTGACTTGCATTTATTGACGAGAACATACAGCTGTCTGTCGTTGTTTTTTTTGGTATTACCGAAACACAGTGTGTTATGTGTTGTTTCAGCGTTGTAGATCAAAAAAAATGAAAAAAAGAATGCAATGCTATGTATGATTGCATATGTTTGTTGTAGCTGTTTGCATCTTCGTAATAAAATTTATATTATTTACTATTATTTTATATTGTATATTGTTAAATATGTGATTGAGAACGAAAGTAATACTGACCTTTAATCTCACAGCGTATTGTTGGATTTTCTGCGGACTAGAATCGTCCGTTTTTTCCACACCCAATTGCTGTGCCAATTTCGTCCAAGTTCTAATCTCGCCTGCTTCATGTTTACGCACCAGTTGAAACAGCACCCATGGATGAAAAACTTTTCCGTCCGATTTCGGCACAGCTTGAAACGCGCGTTGCAAAGACGACACGTCGGTTTCAATTGGTGCAGATGGGTTGCAATAGAACACGAATTCGATGTATCGATCGGCGATATTCGATTCGGTTATCTCTTTGGGTGGGAGCCTTCTCGGAGAATGATGTTGAATGGGAATGAGCTGTTGAAATGTTGTCGGTGTTGAGGATGCAGAAGACGACAAGTCAATTTTTTTAATGTTAAAGGGAGAAAGCGGTGGTGGCGGTGGTGATGGTGATGGTGGCGGTTGCACTGGAAATTCCGAAGTGGAAAGAGATTCCGCTTTGTTTGTCTTTTTCGTTCTTGAAGTTGATGCCTTGTTTTTTGATGATGATGAGGATGATGATGATATCGATGATGCTGTCGATGTTTTACTTGGAGCCTCTTCCCTTGATACTGTTGTCTTCGATATAACAATTCCTTCTTGCTCTCCTTCTTCCTCTTTCTCCACTTCCACTTCCACTTCTTCTTCCACTTTCACTTCCTCTATCACAGTTGAATTGTCGGTGGTGATACTTGTAGACATGGTATTACTTTCTTTGCTTGTATTTGTGGCTGCTGTGGCGGAGATATTGTTATTATTATCAGCAGCATTATCGATAGTAACATTTGATTTTCTCGAAGAAATATTTTTGTCAAATTGTGACATGGTAGTGATGGTTGAAGTAGATTCTTCGTGTTGATTCGATTCGTAATCGATAGCTTCGGAAGATGTTGTAGATGTAGGTGATGAAGCTGCTGCTGTTGGTAAGGCGTCCTCTTGCTGTTCTGTTGTTGCTTCCGCTATTTTAGTTGATTTTTGAAAAGGCATAGTGATAATGATAATGATATGATAATAATTATAATGATAATAATAAAAATAATAAGATAAATTGGTTTTGTAAAAAAACCAATTTAAACAGTATAAATATGTTATGTATGTATATGCAGACAGGAAAGATTGCCTGTAGCAATAAAAGAATATAACTGAGTGGTATAATTGGATACTATTCTTTGCCCGATTTTTTTTTTTGGAGAAAATAACCATAACAACATTTATATTATTGTAATCGGCGTACAAAAAGTGTGTTAGAAACAAATAACTGACACAAGCACAAAACTCCTAGACTACATACGTACATTGTATATAGAAGAAAATAGTGTTAAGAAAAAATATACATGTATGTATATCGTGTATTGTATAATAATAATGTTAACTACATGTAATTTATATTTAGTGGGTATTTAATTATGGTAAATATAATCTCCTCCTCCCAAAAAATATCGATCGACACACCTAGCAACCACCTATATCATTCAAAAACAAAAAACTACACCCAAAACGCAGCTACAAGTAAACTCTATATCATTTTATTTTCCAATGGGCAAAAGCTTAATTCCTCTATTTGGAAGAGGAAGAAGGGGCAAATAAAAAACGTTGATATAAATGGAAAAAAGTATAGACAAACAAACAGACAAATAGTCGTTAATAATTAACCAAAATCCCCCCAGTGTAAATTTCACTCCCAACTCTAAAATAACATTTAGCCAACATTTTTTTTCGTTTTTGGAATCGGCAAATGGTTTGTTTATTTTTGTGTTTTTGTGTATAGAAGACTGTTAGACGCCAAAAATAATCGGTCTTGAATGATCATCATCAACAACCATAACGTCAAATGACCGAATCAGTTATCATAATATTAGTCATGATAATACATACGTACGTAGTTGGTAATTAATATTGAAAAAAAATACATGCACAAAAATATCATTCAACAGCGAGATGCATTCACTCATTGAAGTAACCAATACATTTTGAAAAAAGGGAGGGAATGGTACTTTTGATCCATTGTTTGAAAAATTCAGTTAATAAAAAACTAATAGTATATTTTTTATACATGCATATACATATATGTGGCAAAGTTTGTTAGATTTCAATTTGGTAAACAACAAATATTCTTATTCAAAGTTAAATGCTTTTGCATCAACAAGCAATAGAAAGCAAGATTACAAAATCAACATTGATAATCGTACATAACGGGTATTCATTCCTGTTATTTTTGTTATCCATTAATGTATAACTGTTTCATTCGTTGCTTAAATTTATGTACTATATGTTTATATGGATATTTTAACTTTAAAGTCTTTGTGGGGGATCAAACATCTGAAGAAAAGCAATGAGTGACGTGATTTTTTATTTTATTTAGTATTATACAAACCGGGGAATTATGTTACGTGATACGATTTGTTGATTTGATTTTACTGATAATTTTTAGCTATTATTCCACTCGCTGAATAATTCGGGGTACATACGTAGTGTCGTTTGATGTCACTATTAGTTTTATACAAAACTAGATTTCAAGTCACACCATTACGTACATTATGCACACTTGCCTAAATTAAGAACAATGACAGTCGTCGATCAATTTATACGCGTCCGATGCTAGAAGTTTGAAACGAAATTTTGTTTTCCATTGTTATCTGAATCTTGTTTTTTTTCTTGGTTTTTTCTTGGTTTCATTTCCAGTGATTGATGACGTTTTCATATATGCGGCCTTTTTTGGTTTGGTTGTGCCATTGTAATAGCTATCAAAAAAGGTAAACAAAATCACATTTCTTATTGCATGCGATAACAGGAAAAATAGATCGGATTTTTAAGGTACAATCATACTGTTGGTTCTCAAAATTGATGCATTCATTACCCATTTATACATTTTGCTGTTTCTATGCGTGATAACAATTTTTCATTTCCTAAATTCGTGAATTAAAGGATTGCCAAAAAAAGTGGTAAATTCTGTATATCTCCTAGTCTTCAGTGCGGTGGGTTAGATCAGATCGGATCAGAATTACTGATACGCAATAAAGTTTTAATGTGTTCTATTCACACCTCCCGAGAACAATGTAAATTCGAAACGGAATATTTTTTTTATTACTATACTTTAATGTGTATTACAAAAAAGACAATGAGACAATGACAGCAAGAAACGTAACACAAAACGATCGCCCCTGGACGCACAATGGACAATGGATGTGGTGTTACTGTGGCTTTCGGGTTTTCTGCAATAACAAATCCCTAACAAATTTTGTCAGAGAAAACAACACAAGTCACCATAGTCGTCATTATTCTTCCAAAAAAAAATACACATATATACGAAAATTTCTTGGCCTAGACTAAAACACATATTTCTCTTGCCTTATTTGTGTCTCTTGTTCAGGAGTAAAGAATTCCTTGATGCGTTTTAAAAATAATTTTATCCATTCCGCCCATTTTACCCATTTACTGTTAGCTATTTACGAAAAATTATTGCGTAATTTAATTTGCTGATAACAAAAAAAATCATATTATGTTTTTGTATGTGGGGATTATCAAAGGATGAGCAAGGGGTGTTTCAAAAGTATAATGATAACAAAATAGAATTTTTTACTATATATATACAGACATATGATTTCTCAAAAGACCGGAGTGCATACAATGTGAGTCTATGTGATTCGTCCGTCGAATTAGATATTAAAGGTGGCTTTTCTCTTATTTTTCTTATTCAGAACGTAACATTGGAATCATCATATGAATTTGTGTTGGTTCTAGTAAATTCCATTCTTCGTCTACCTCGGCAGTAAGTTGTTTCAGCACCATGATCGAAAATGCAAAAAATGTGAAACAGCATTCATTATAGCCGAGCTAGTTTGTGCGTGTGTTTATCGTTATTTACTTAACCAGTTTTATTTTCTGTGTATCTGTTTGTGTCAGACAAAAGGAAATTTTATTAAGGGGATGGTTGCATATCATATGATTGCAGATACTATTACTTAATATCCATAGCGATAGGGATAATAGATAACGATAATAAGATCGCTTCTATAAATGGATTAATGAAAGAGCTAATATCGATATAGAATTCGATGAATAATCCAATATCTGGGCGCCAATGTGTAAATTAACTGTAATTCAGGAAAACACTGGAAAGTGGACTCGCTCGTTTTTTTAACATGTACAATAATTATTATTATTATTGAATGCTTGATTGGTATCTCTGTTTATTCAGTCCGAAAAAAATTAATGTAAATCTCATTTTATATATAATAAAACTATATAGAATTACATGAAAACTTTTACTATTTCAACTTTTTAAATTATAATGTGTATTACAGTGGCAATCGAAAATAATGTAATGCAAAAAAAAATTTATTAATAAAAATACGAAAAATGCGAGTTTTTCTCTTTATATAAAAGTTTTTAATTTATTAATAAATCTTTTTTATTTTACCTCAAAATGAAGACAATATTACATATTTTAACATATATTTTTTTCAGATTTTTTAGATTTAATCTGACAGAGTTGTTCTACTTGCATATAACGTCAATAACCTTATTATGTTTTTATTATTAAAAATTATTGACTTTATATGCAATTAGAACAACTCTGTCAGATTAAATCTAAAACACTTTTATATAAAGAGAAAACTCGCATTTTTCGTATTTTTACTATGTTAATTAATAAATTTTTTTTTGCATTACATTATTTTCAATTGCCACTATATATGGATTTCTTTGCTAAAAAATATTGAGATGTAACTAGTTAAATTATCTATCAAATTTCCAATACAAATCAATTGTGATTTGTAATTTTATTTTTGAACTACTTTTTATAAGTATAATTGTTAATATTATATTCAAATTCACATAAAAATAAATGAAAATAATAATTAATATTCTGATTTTTTTATAATTATTTATTATTAATATCAAATTATTCTTTTACAATCATGATGCAAAAGATTTAAAATCATTAAATATTATATATAAATATAAAATATATAAAGTCAATAAAAATATATTATATAGAATATACAATTCCTGACAAAAATAGTAGTGTATGTGTTTTTGCTTATATCTTAATAAGAAATTATTCAAAAATCATTAGGATATTGAAAACAAGTTTTTTAATATCACAAAGCATGTTAATATAGTAAAATTTCATATTAAATATAATGAATTAAAATTTTTAATATTTAAGTTAGAATAAAAAATTATTAAAAATATTTTTAATAAGCAATTTTGAAAATAATTTTATAAAAATATATATTATAATATAAAGAATATATTTATAATTTAAAAAAAATTTTTTTATTTAATAAATATTATTTAAAAATATTTTTAATAAGAATTTTTGAGAAGAATTTTATTAAAATATATTTTTATAAAATTCTTTTCAAAATTTTTTATTAAAAATATTTAAATAATTTTCTATTTTAATTTAAATATTAAAAATTTTAATTCATTACTTTTGATATAAAATTTTATTATATTAACATGCTTTATATACTAAAAAACTTGTTTTCAATATTCTAAAGAATATATTATTATAATTAGACATTTTTCATAATTACAAACAATTATTATATATGATTACTTTACATAATCACTTCAAATAATTACTTTGAATAATCATTCCAAATGATTATTCCAAGCAATTATTTTAACTAATGATTTCAAGTATTTTAAATGATTATTACAAATGATTATTTTAACAAATTAGTTCAAATACTTTGAATAATCATTTCAAATAATCATTTCATAATTATTAAATACTTGAAAATATAGTATATATTTTAGTTAGTAAAAATAATTTAATTAAATTCAATATTCAATAATTAACAATTAATAGTTAATAGATTTCATAATTCTTAGAATCTCAAAAATAATCAATAACAATTAAAAACATGTAATAAATTCATTCATTAATAAAATGTTATTTTCACTTAGTCTAGGTTATTCTCACTCCAATTGACAACAAAATTACATGAGCATCATCATTCGAGTGATGATTAGTTTACGAATTCATCATCAATGATAATTTATTTATGTTTTCGTCATCATTTGAATATATTCAGATAATGATAAAAATTTGACAATAAAAATTTGATTGCATCATCATCCCAAATCATATATGCATCATTATTTGAATGATGATTAGTTCATGAGTTTGTCATCACATTTAGATATAAAAAATATGACAACGAATTTGTGTTCACATCGATATCTTTCACGATCTATAAAAAATATAATGATAATTTTATGTTCACATCATCATATTTCTAGTCTGAATATATACTATCAAGTTCTTTATATACACACTATATATATGTTATCTGAACATGCTATATATATGCTATTTGATTATGCTATATATACAATATCTGATTATGCTATCAATTAATGCTATCAAATATGTATGCTTATATCATGTAAATACTATCGAGTATGTTATATTAAAATATGCTGATTTTGATTGTTAAATTGTTATTCCTATTTGATAACTCACCAAAGTATCTGATGATGAGGCACATAGTGCCTAATTGTTAGCTTTACATAATTTATTCAAATATCATCTGGAAATGAGAATATAATACTGAATTGTTATTTCTATTATCAGGAAATTTTTTGAACAATATTCATCAAGAATCATCATCATATTTGTAAAAATCAACAAATATCTCTCTGAAATATCGATATTAATCAATGACTCCAATGATCTTTAATAAATATTCATATCAATAATCATTGATCATTGTTAATATATTATTTATCGATATATAATAATATATCGATCATTATCGCAATATATTATTTA